TCCCTCAGCGGCGGAGCCGGGCCGAGCGGGTCTCCCTGAGGTAACAGGGAGTGGGCCTGGGCAGGCCGCGCCCTTCCCTGGGCGAGGGCCCCGGGGAACCGCCCGCGTCCTCCGGCGAAGGGGAAGAGCTGCGAAGCGCGGTTACCGGCTGCACCTCCAACACCAGCAACGGGTTGTTAACCGACCCTGTGCAGGGCAGCTCCTCCTTTGAGAAGCAAACCGCGTGTGGTGCAGAGCGGTGTTAAAACAATAAAAACGTTTGAAGCTCCAGAGAGAGAAAACCTGAAGCAACTGTTGCCTCACGTTCAGCTTTTATTAGGTTAAGCAGTCGTAGAGGTACGCTAGTAATAAGCGTTCCTAGACGAAGATACAGAGGAGCACCTGGTGATGCTGCACATGTGAACACAGTCGCTGTTAAGTTTGGGTTAAACTCTTGGTCTCTACACAGGAATGCTCTCGTTGATCTTGCTTATCGCAGGGAAAAGAATGGAGATGTTCCTCATGGCTGGCAGCAGTATAGAGAACTCGTCAGAAACAGCGCCTGTGCCACGGGCAGCCTGAACTTTGTTAGATCCTTGCAGCAGAAGGAGCGTTAATGTTGTTTCTATAGTGAAGTGTCCCTTTTTTGCCACAGAATTCCAGTTTCAATGTAAGCAATGCTTCCATGCAACCTGCCGCTGCTCTCTGTAGAGAACCAGCCCCACGCCTGGTCGGAAGCAGCACGGGCACCCAGCCTAGGAAAGATGACATTCTGGTGTTAAAATTAGGCTTTTCCTGGTGTAGAGATTGTGTCCTAACTCAGGGAGGGAGGAGAGAAGTTCTGGGAAATGCATTGTTTCAAAGGAGGAATTATTGAAAACCAGCCTTAAAACAATACATTGAAAGAGCTGATGTGTTCTGGTGCCATTTCGTAGTCAAAGCTGATGAAGTTCAGAGTGCTGCTAGCAGTGAAAAGTCATCACTATCTGCAATAAATTCAGCATAAAGAGTAAGTAAAAATGGCACTGCAGTGAGTGTAAAAGCGAGCAAAAAAATCCACAGGCCCAGTTCAATGTCTTTTTTGTGACACTGCTGCTGTTAAAGTAGTTTTTTTGGAGCGCAAGCTCTCCTATAATCTGTACCAAACCAGAGCAGCTTTTTGTCAGAGTGTGGAAGTCTGATCTGTGAACACCATCTATTCAGGTGATGCAAAAGGAAACAAACACATTGAGGGTGGTCTCAGAAAGAAAAATAGGATGTTTAAAAAAAGCCTAGTCCATTTAAAACAGTCTATTTTATTCAGCAAAAGAAAGCATCTTACCGTAAGATTGAGGGAAAATAGTTTTCTGCTTGAAGGACTATATTGGAACAACTCAAGTTATCCTGTATAACTGAAGCTATGTAATAATTTTATGTTGGGGAATAGAAATCCATACCTTCTACTGAAGACACGAACATTTCTGTTCAGTTATTTCGTTCAGAGGGGTTTGGTAGCTGTGGTTTTCATACGTATCATAATAGCTAAGTGGAAAAAAAAACCAACAGAGAACAGTGAACTGCATTGGTTTGTAAAAGAACACTCGGGTTGGTTTCCTCTAATGAAATAAAACGACAGAACCACACCATCGATACCAGGTTGCTGTGCCCTGTACAGTTTGCAAGCAGGAAGTGAAGATGTAAAAGCCCCAGGCACACTCAGATAAATACTTGAAGTGTATAAAGCGTATACAACCTGGGACTTGGCAACAAAGGACATGAATGAGCATCCAGGAGACTGCCTTACCCTTCCTTCTGCTTGGAAATAATTTTCCAGACAATGCCAGCCCCCAGGAGAAGCAGGACTCCTGCAGCTACAACTCCTGAGAGAGAAGATCACGTATCATTCTCACTGTATGTTTTAAATATAATATATTTAAATAGTATCAGCACAAAAGACATAACGAGGCATATCTTCAAAGCAAGCAGAGGGAAACGGTGCCACCAAAGCCACTGCAGAAAGCTGCTACATTTTTTGGCCACAAAAAGGTTTCTAAGCTGCTTACCTACACCTACCGAACCAGACTTTTGTGACACTGAAAGGAAGAGAAGAAAAAATCAGCAAAGTATTCTAACAAAATAGGGTGTTTCTCAACAGTATTTAATCATCTTATTAATAAAAGTTTTACTCCTAAGGCGTGCAATAGAGAATGTCTTAAAACCCACACCATTATACCCTCTTTTTTTTTTAAATACAGAAATCTGTTTGCATGTTTAAAATGCATCTGCATGTTTCTCTTTGGTCTTTGCTTCATTCACGTGTCACTCACTCAGTTTACAGGCAGGTACAGGGGGGTCCCAGCTGAAGTCTTCTTGGCACTGAATCTGATTGTTGCCTTCCAAGGTGTAACCGTCATCACATTCAAGAGTGATGTTAGTCCCAGAGCGATAAGTGTTTCCTCGAATGGCTTTCTTAACACCTTGAAGTTCTGGGAATACACATCTGATCTCTGAAATTAGAAGTGACAACAAAAGGACATTTGAGAGGGAATATAAAATATAAGAAATACAAGCGTGGGTTATTTAGGATGTTGTTCATGAATTCTTCCTGAATGTAACCAGGACTTAATTCTCATTCCACAGGGTAACTCCTTTCTTTGTGGCTGCAGAAGTATGTTCACTCCCACATGTGAATATTTGTACAGATCAGCTACTCCGTGCTGATACGGCAAATAGAAAATCCTGTGTAGCAGGGGCACCTTGGCAGAAACGTGCCAGAGAAAGAGATTTTTCTGATACTAGGCTACCAAAACACTGGGGGAAGAAAGGTTTAGTAGAGAAGAATTATGTAGGAGCTTTAGAACCAACTGCCTATAACCCACTTCTAGTCTGTAGAAGTCCCTTGCCCATCAATGATGTCACCAGATGTATTATTTATCAATAATTACTTTATTAATTAGTCCAGTCATCAAACCTACTTATACCACTGAGTTCCATGAGGTGAGTTGCTTCAGTTTAAGCACCAAATCACCTTTGACAGCCCATGCCCAAGAATTCTGGAGGATATGGTTCTCAGTGAAGACCAAAGGGTTAATGTCAACATGTAACTTTACCCTTTGTTTTACGTCCTTTCTTTAATATTTATTTTTACTATCACACGAAACAGTTACTAAAGAGACTTCAAAACCATGAGAATGTGGAGAGACGGGGAATTTTACTGTGAGTGCTTCCTTTAAAGAGCCTCTGACTTATTTACGTAAGCATGTGGTATGTTATTTCCTTTCATTGTTATCCAAGCAGCTCCACCAAGGAAGTGCCCTGTGTGGGTAATGCATTTATTCCAGTGAATGTCCAGGTTTCCATGCAGGAATACCCACACTGGAAATATTGTGACACTCATGAAACTGCCTTTAGTCAGGTTTGCCTGATGATTGACCTTCACAGTGAGCTACACAGAAGGCACACAGAGGCATTTTCCGAGAAGGGAGTAGTCAGGCTCATGTGTAATCTCCAAACCATCCATCAGAGAACTTGTGTGATATAACAGTCACTTCCTTTGCTTTGATAACTGGGGAGTGAGCGACACAAAAAGGGAAGGAAAGGGAGGGGAAAAGTCTACTCTCCTACTAAAAATAAAAAGCTTTTAGTGCAGGAAAGTTGGTACATGGCTCATTTGTAGTACCAAGAGAAGAGAGAGAAAACATGCAAGAATTAAAGCTGCCTTTCAGAATTGCCTCTATCATACTCCTGTCCTTCTGTTAGCATGAGGTTCCCATCCTGCTTCTTTACAACAACATCATACTCTTCCCAGGGATAACAAAGAGTAGATAAATTCATAATTAACAGATCAACACTGCCTAGCTGTGATATAAAGGTGGTTCCGAAGCAAAGTAAGGGGATGGAATTCAGTGTAAGCTGCAGGTTTTGCTGCTCAGATTTTGGCCTGGGCAGCTCTCTGAAGATTTAATGTAAATGATTTAGTGTAAATGTATGTATCTGCATGGCTGCATGTCTCCTCAGCCCAGTTCTGGTTCTGCCACCATAAGCTAACTAAGCACAAGCACACCTTTGCACTGAGGAGGAGGCTGGCTCCAGGTTCCTTTCAACGTGCAGTTGATGAAAGCATTCCCAATGAGTGAATAACCAGGATTGCAGCTGTAGGATACAGATGCTCCATAGGAAAAAGTGTCAGAGATGTTGCCTTTGAGCTTCCCATTGGTGATGTTTGGAGGACGGAGACACTTCACAACTGGAAAGTCAGGGAGAGACAGACAACACGTTGACACAAAGACCCTGATGGACTGACAGAGGGTAGCTAAGGCACCATACCTTTGCAGCCTTGATTGTTCCCTTTTAATTTCTTCACCTAGGCTCAACACCTGATTTGGTAACTCTATAAAAAAATCAGGCTTTGGAAATGGGTATAAACTTGATCTTTTCTTATCACATGCAGTAGTAAAAGGCTTGGATTTAGTCCTTGTACAAATCTTTCTCTAAGGCAAGTCATGTTAAATTTCCTTCTTCTTAGCTCTCTGCAACAAAAACACACCTTGACAGAGCGGAGGATGATGGCTCCAGGCTCCAGCCTGTGTGCAATACATGGTTGCTGTCCCAATGAGAGAGAAGCCAGCCTCACAGATGTAGCTTATAGATGTTCCAGGAGTGAAAAACGTTTTTGCTGGGCCACTGAGAGAACCATGGGCAATATCTGCAGGCTTGGAGCAGTACCGTGCTAAAGAGAGAGACGTGCAGATCAAAACAGAGCTCCAAGGGGCAAGAGGGGAAACTTTTGAGGATTTGTGACGTCTCCAGGCCTATGGAGGGACTCTGGTCTGATTGCTTTTCCATTCCCAACTCTTGGGCTCTCACAATCAGCTGTGAACAACGAGGGTATAAAGAACACTTTAGACTATAAAACTTGAGTGGGGTGGAGATCAGAGTCCATAGAGACCTCATTCTTTCCTTAGCAGTGGAGTTTGTAGAAGCAACAGCTTGTTTCAACAAGTCCTTGGGCAAACACCACTACATGCATTGAGAAAGTTGAGAAGAACCAGTGAAAAGAGCACAAACGCACCTTCACACCGAGGAAGAGGGCGGCTCCAGACTCCAAATGTTGTACAACGAACAGATTTATTCCCAATGAGGGAGAAGCCCCGTTTGCAGCGATAGTGCACAAGTGCTCCTACATGAAAAGTGTCTAAGAAATGTCCGCTGTGTTCCCCATTGACAATGCTTGGAGGAGGCAGACACTTCACTACTGAAAGAGGAGAGGATAAGAATGTGATGTTCAATTGTAAAAGAGGCGGTAATGTACCCCTCTTCCCTGCAAAAAAGCAGGACAGGTTGAGAGGAGGAGTTGGTGTTTAGTAAATTTTGCCTCTTCTTGTGATAGACCTACCTGGCTTTCTGGTGGTATGAGGATGATGATAGTGTTCTGCCACTCCATCTAGATGCAGCATTAAGAGTTTAAAATACACATTTGGTAGAGTAAATACAATGCACAAATTTACCTTCATTTTCCATCATCCTGCCTTTATAGCAAAAATTGCACTCCTCACTGATAGTGTCCTGCCATGAAGCTACTAAATTTCTCTCTTTCAGGAAAAGCAGAGAATGTAGGTTATGGCTTACAGCAAGCAGGCTGAGAAAAGAGCTTATCATGTTTATACTTACAGCATTACCCAAAACCTGGCTCATCTCCTGAGTGAGAAGAGAGGCATAAATGAAAGGAACAATTTCTGGTTTCTCCTTAAAGTAGTTGGAGCAAACAGGAAAAATAAAGTCAATGTTGGCTTCAGTGAGTGGGTAGGAGCAGTGGGGAGGAATCTGCAGTGCTGGCAGGTCAGGGTGCTGGCACTTACCCTGCTCACAGACTGGTACTGGTGGATCCCATGTTTTATCAGCTTGGCACTGTGCTGTGTGATTGCCTCGCAAGGTGAAACCCTTATGGCACTTAAAGCTAACGGTGTCTTTGTATGTGTAGCGGTACTTCAGGACAGATACTCTCCCATTCTGGATCTGTGGGACTGGACATACCACCTCTGAAAAATAAATCGATTACCTCAAAGAAGGTGCCATGTGTATGCTGTAATGGGTGCATGCATAAAGTCCATCCTAATGGTGCCACTGCTCAGAGGAGTTTCATGAGTAGTACTTGGAGACTCAAAGAAGAATCATTTCAAGAATTGAGGGCTTTTAGTTCCTTTAGGCACCCTAGGATTACCACATTATCACAGAGTCCCAGACTGGTTTGGGTTGGAAGGGGCCTTAAAACTCATCCAATTACAACCCCCTGCCATGGGCAGGGACACCTTCCACTAGAGCAGGTTGCTCCAAGCCCCTGTGTCCAACCTGGCCTTGAACACTGCCAGGGATGGGGCAGCCACAGCTTCTCTGGGCACCCTGTGCCAGCGCCTCAGCACCCTCACAGGGAAGAACTTCTGCCTAAGAGCTCATCTCGATCTACCCTCTAAATCTACATTATTGTATATATAAACATAGTTTTGTGCCTATAAATAGAATAATTGAAATACATTTCAATAAATATAATACATATATAATAAATAAATATAATTCATAAATACTCTTAGTCATTCTCATGACTACTTTACTATCCCAAGCTCATGCCTTCTAAAGCAATTCCATCTGAAGGAAAGACTAATTACAGTGATCAGTCCTGAAAAACAGCTTTGTGATTTGGATAACAATGCAGTATTTGGAAGATCACAGTTCAATTTGACTCAATATCCCACTCTTGGACTGCAAGATGCATTTCTTCCTTAATGTGTTATGTTTCTGAAACAAAAGGGACAAATCCCTGTGGGCATCTCATGACTCTTCTGTGTAAGTCTACATAAGCAAGCAAAACAATCCTAGAGGAATATTCTGCTTTTAAAACTTATTCCTCAAGGTTCTATTTATTTTAAGGAAATGCCACTTTTTAATTTTAAGGGCTTAATTTGGCCCTAATTCTGGGCCAGGTCTAGTTGTGACCTACTTTGACAAATGGGAGGAAGACCACTCCATGCGACGTCTGGCCCAAAAATCCCACATCGCCTGTGAGACTGTCCAACCAGTCGGTGCCTGGAGTTACAGAGAAGGAAGTATCAGTTGATCCCAAATAATTTTTTCCTGCTCTGACACTACCCCAGAGGTTTCCTTCTGTAGCCTCCTGAATTCTGACTGATCATCAAGGTGTATCTGTTGGTTTGACGCATGGTTATGAAGGAGCCAAGTTCTTTTTTCCTAGATCCAAGAGGAACAGCAATGATCCCAAAGTATTCTGGGTTAGATTGGTCAGGTGCTAAGTCAGGACACAGACTGAAGTGATTTCCAAACTGCTGGAGGCTCCTTGCAGCATGCTCAGCTCCTACTGGGTGGCCATCTGAGAAGCAGACTGTAACTGAAGCTTGCAAAGTAATCTATTGAGCACAAGCAGAGGAAAACAAGAGACACTTCTCCCTTTCCTGAGCAGGCCACTGGAACCAAAATAAATGGCATAACTGGAACCAAGATACAGATTCTGGCTTGCTGTGGGAGGATGGCCACACAGAGGAGTGGGTTCAGGCACTTCACTGTAAGCTCAGAAACAGAATCAGCAAAGGCAGTGTAGGACTCACCCTTCTTTACATGTGTAGCTCACGGTCGACCCAAAAAGGAGATCTGTCAGAACAACAACTCTGCCATTCTTTAGTGTTTCTGGGTATTTACATTGCTTCCCTGGGAAAGAACAAGGCTGAGTTTAAACTCCTCCCTTGCAGTTTTGTAATGCACTATGAGAAGGTACCTTAAGGATCTGTCCACATTCAGACACCAATGAATACATTGATTTTCAAATGGCCAAGAGCTGCCCAAGCTATGTGACTAGTAAAGCCATGTAGGAAGCATTCTTTCAAGAATTGCTTTAAGAAACCCACAAATGCATTTGAGACAGTTGTCAACACCAACACCAAACATTGAGCTATTCACTTTTACAGAACTCTAGCGCTTCAGACCACGTGTAGTTTTGGAGGCATGTCAGAGTTGGGGATACTCCGGGGTGTTTCATATATCCCAGTGGACAGCGGTATCGCACAGTGTCCCCAACAGGAAACTCTGACAGGTTTCTGTATTCCTCAGCAAGCTCAGCAAAGGTTAAGTTTGGAGGTGGGCCACAGCCACCTGCCAGGAAAAAAAACACAGGGAGAAATCGGGATATCAACTACATAAATGGTATGAAAATGTATAGCGAGTATATACCTCTATAGATAAATGTTTACAGGCAAAACTGAAAACAAAGGGGAAGGACTGATGGATTCAAGGGAAAGGATGAATCCTACGGGCTTTCAATGGCAGAAATTCCCAGACTAGCCATAACTCCCATCTTGGGGTGTACCTGCACACTGAGGAAGAGGAAGGCTCCAGTTTCCTGAGTCAGTGCAGTGAATCGATGCCTCTCCCAGGAGGCTGTAGCCAGGGTCACAGCTGTAATTTACAACCATCCCAGCAGTGAAAATTTCCAAGTCCTGGCTGTTGTGATTTCCATTGTCAATATTTGGAGGTGAAGGACATTGCAGCACTGAAGAGAGAGAGCAAAACAAAATTAACAAAGGGGATGGACAGGGTGACACGCGGGAAGGATGCGAGCACAAAGTTAAAGTGGACCCAGCTTCTGCATGTGCTGGAAGCACACTTAGACCCGAGGGTGTTGCTGGATGTGCAGTTCCACCCTTCCCATGCCAACTCTGCAGGGTGGTGGGTTTGCCAACTCTGAGATCAGCCAGGCGTGGGATGGATCCTCAGCCGGGCACGGGACGGATGCTCAGCTGGGCATGGGACGGATGCTCAGCCGGGCAAGGGGTGGATGCTCAGCTGGTCAAGGGGTGGATGCTCAGCTGGGCACAGGATGGATGCTCAGGCAGGCATGGGACGGATGCTCAGCAGGGCATGGGATGGATGCTGAGCCAGCCCCGAATGCACGTGGAGCCGCGGCAGCAGCCAGCCCCACCTGCGCAGCGTGGGTATGGGAGGCTCCAGTTCCCTGAGGCCATGCAGAGGACAGAGGGGTCTCCAAGGAGGGAGAAGCCAGGTTGGCAGCTGTAGCTCACGGACATGCCAGTGGTGAAGTTTGCCTCGAGCTCTGCACTGTGCGTGGCGTGGGCAATGATGGGAGGTGGAGGACAAGGCAGCCCTAACAGGGCAGGAGCAGAGAATGGCATTTTAGTGATTTTGCCCCATGGAGGAGCACATGTAATACAACAAAAGACTGTCATACCTGAAGTTTTGCAGGTGAGGCACAGAGCACAGCCTCATCTAGCACAATATTGGCCCTAAGCATCCTCCTTCTAAACCCCCATGTGGTGGCACTCACCTGGCTTGCAGATAGGGACAGCAGGCACCCAGCGACCATCAGGCTGGCACTTGGCTTCACGACTGCCCCATAGCACATAGCCTGAGTGACACTGGAAGGTGACATTGGCCCCAGGGTGGTAGACAGTGCTCTGTCCTTCAGCCACTTCTCCATCCTGGATGCTGGGGCTTGTGCAGGTGATCACTGGAAGTCAAAAGCAGCAGAGCACGGGCTGGGGAAGTGGCTGCCAGCTCTGGGGGTTCCTTCTTTGCTTGTGCATGGTCAAAACTCAGGGCAGGCCGTGCAACCATCATAGTCTGATTGCCTTTTCACTGTGGGTAACAGGATTTACAGCTCACCTTCACACCGCGGGTAAGGGATGCTCCAGGTTCCAGATGTCAAACAAGAAACTGTTGTTTTCCCAGTGAGGACGTACCCCGTGTCACAGTAGTACTTCACAGATACTCCTGGGACAAACACCTTCACATCCTTGCTGTCATGATGGCCATTTTTGATATTTGGAGGGGAAGGACACTGTAGCACTATAGGGAGGGGAAAAAGAGCTGGTACCACAAGCACCCACAGTAGGCTAAGGCAGCCTTTTAGCTTCTTTCTTTCCCATTAACTTTTCCCAAGTAGGTTGGTCTGTTCCATCCTACCCTCTCTTATCTTCCAGCCTTTAGGTTTTTCAAGCTTATTCACATCAAGAATGATAATTTCTCACTATTTGGGCACTTAGAGTGGTTAGTTGCCATCTGTAGCCCTAACAGCTTGCTCTGGCCTTTCTGTGGTTGTGACCTAGATCAGCCACCAGCCTGGCTCACTGTCTCTTTGTGGGTTCATTTAAAGAGATGAAAGACCTATGTAACAAGGGTCTGAATCATAGAATCATTTAGGTTGGAAAAGACTAAGATAATCAAGTCCAACCATTAACACTGTCAAGTCCACCACTAAACCATGTTCCTAAGCGCCACATCTACATGTCTTTTCAATACCTCCAGGCCTACTGACTCCACCACTTCCCTGGGCAGCCTGTTCCAGTACTTGAATGGGAATGATGAAGATGGGAGGACAGATACACACATGTTTTTTCTTTCCAGTCCTAGAGAGTGGCCCCTTCAGCTCCAGTGTGAGGAGGTTGCACCTTGCCGTGTGCGCTCACATAGTGGTCCAGAAGAAATCAGGTACCACCCACTGCCTCATTTACACTTACTCTTTTCACAGGTGGGAACAGGAGGGTTCCACTTGCCCCCAAACTGACACTGAGACTCTCGAGACCCCTTCAAGGCATAACCGAAATCACATTCGAAGACAACAGTATCCATGAGTTTGTACATGGTCTCCAGCCCAGCTGATCTTCCATTCTTGATCTCTGGTCTTTTGCAGCCAGTTGCTGGAAATGAAGAGCACAAGGCACTCCTGGGGACATGAAGCCCATCCTG